ACATCCTTTTGCCATTGGAAGAGCTAAACCAGACCTTCCTTCCCACACGTTTCTGTCCCCAAAAGCAACCTGCAAGTCTCACAGCAAAGCTAGGAATACACATTCACAGCATTTTTCTTGCTTTCTTTCCTCACACAACAGGTTCACACTTCACAGGCTGGGCTTTTAGTCTACCTTTTTTGTTACCAAGTTCATCAACACTATCTGTTTATCTGCTCCATCCAAACCAAGAAGGAAATAAGCCCACAGAAGATAAGTAGGAACTCTTCAACAGCTACCTTCCTGCTGAGCCAGCAAGTGCCATTTTTGGCACCATCTGTGTCCTGGAAGTCTGTTCTCTAGTGTTTTATTCACTAAACATGGAAAAAATATTTGGAAAGAAAATTTCTTGAAGCATCTTCTAAACCGTAGATGCTAGTTTTAAAATGTCTTAAAAGAAAGTAAAGAAAAGGGGGTGGTATTGCACACCACAGTTCCTTCTCAGAGAACTCAACTCAAATCCCCATCGTGTTAAATCAGAAACAAACTCTAGGTACTTCAGTTTTAAATCACCACATCTAGATCTCCTTCCAGAAGGCATATAATTTTGTCTTGCAAATACACCTCCAGTGCTGAATACACACAAGCTAAGTGAGAGAGTACTTGCCATTACAAATTAGGAGTCAAATCAGTATCTTACAGACTGCAGTTCAGGAAAGAGTAATACAGGTCTATTTACTTTCCTGCAGCGACCATAGAGCCAGGGTAGTCATTTCCAATGAGAAAGAGTTGAGACTGGTATATGTGGAGAACGGAAAAAGGTGGTGTGCCAAATTCTTCACTAGTCATGATTTTTAGGATCAGTCTGGACTTTGTATTTGACAAGTAAGGAGAGAAACGGGGGGGAGAAAAAAGGTATAACCACATACTATCTCTAAAAATGATGCACTGTTTGAAGGTTTGCCTCACAAAAGACTTTGTAACAAGATAAAACGATTTATTTAAAAAATAAAATCTGATCATGCATGTGTTCTCCAAATTACTAAACTGATACAATAACCTCTATAGGCAAATTATATGTAAGCAAAACAAAAGGGAGAAGATGCACAGCAGAAGTGATGATGCTTTTATGGAACACGGTCACTGATCCAGAGTCCTCAAACACAGACTGTCCAGTGAGGGAAGGGGGAAGATGCAAATGACCTGGATAAGTAGAGAACATGATCCTGGATAATCATGTACCAGTCCAGACTCCAAATGCAGTCTGAGGCAAGTTCTAAATTTTCTTAGTTCAGACAGAGTTGCCGCCTTCCCTCCACCTCCTAGCTGGGCAAGGAGTATAAGATACCCAACCCACACATACAGGAACCTGCAGAACCTTGCCAAAAATCTTGTGAACTTCAAATTAATCACCAGACAAGTTTTGTACAAACTTAACCTTGAATGACTTGGAATAAATTAGAATTTTATCTTTTACAGCTGCATTTTTCAAGTGAGCTCTTCAGAATAGCAACCTTGTGGTTTTGTTTCAAAGTAGTAACTCAGCAGATTAGAGCAGGTCATTATCTGCCTCTTTTTCCACCACTTAAACCTGAATATGATCTAAAAAGGTTATCTTACCTTTTTTACTTATACCATGATGGTCTAATAAGTACACAGTGAGGTCTTATATTACACAGAGGAAACAACTACAAGTCCAGTTACTATGGTTGGTTGTAAGAGTCAGTATTTTGTTCAGTAACTTCAACCTATGTGAAGGAGAACACTAATTGGAATATTTTTCTCAAAAAAAAAGGCAACCAGAAAAGCAAATAGCTAATCTGAATTTATGTATCTGGTTCATGAAAAGTCTTGCTAATAAACGCTTGCTACTCTGTGGCCATTTGCTACTCTGTGGCCATTTACATCGCTGTTTCCCAATCTATATGGAATAACTATGGGTCAAGTGTCCTATCAATGAGTTTTCAGAATATCCAGTTACTTCCAAGAGGAAGTCAAAGACTCCTTATCACTAAAGTTTGATGTTTTCTCTCTTCTGTGCTACTAAAGGCATTAGATTTTACTAAATAGGTATGCATGTCTCTTAGAAAGATAAGAGGGTACACCAGTGGAATAGTTTCAAGGTTTTCACCAGAAACTGATTTACTCCAGCATTTCATGAATCTCAAAAGACAGCTTCCACCTGCATGGAGAACAAAGGACCTGTATTAGTAATGGGGCACCTTCATCAGCTGATGGATCTCAAAACATTCTCAATTCAAATTAAGCTTCAATATTCCCTGAAAGCTTTTCTGGTTTTGAAAACCAGGAGGCAGAACTACTATCTGTGGTGCTCAGAAGTGGGAGCTACTACCAAATTGTTACACTTCACAGACAAGCACTTCAGCTACATTCCTGCGGGACCAGCATATCCCACCCCTACCACACTTCCAGACCTGCTTTCTCCAAACCTGACAAGCTGCACTTAAGAACATTATGGATGCCTTCCTTATTATAAGAGCGCTTTGTGGGTGGGTTTTTTTATAAGCCAAGGACCATCTCTGTGCAGAGATGCTCACTGGCTCCCAGTACCACATGGCTCAAGGCATGCAGGTACCACTGTGTGACACACTGGCAACAAGAACAGCTGAGAAGCACTGAACTAGAGGCATGCACACTGACTGCTAGGGACACTGCTGTGGGCTTCCCACATAAAAAGCTCGTTTCTATAAACAACAAAATCAAAGCAAGACAATTACTTCAACTTGTGCAAAGAATGACACTGTAACCTTACTAAGAAGGGCTATACTAAGGGAAGAAACTTCACAAGAACAATAATCTTTTCACATATCTCTATGTCACAGTACAAGGAAAGGTGTTGCAGGGTACTAAGTGTGTTTTGTATTTCAATATTGAACACACACGAGGGCCAATGGATTAGCTAACACAGGGACCTCTTTCATCAGTTGTTTTTTGGTTTGGTTTTAAGGATTTCACACCCATTAGAAGTCAGTCCTGATTCAAGGAATTAACAAAAGCGATGAGGCAAGAAAATTGGCACAGAGGGACTATAAGACACAATTTAAGTAAAATCACTCCAGCTGACACACATGCACACTAACACATCATCCTCTCAGAAAATATTCTGCAAGAACATTGCTTCAATATAAATACCTCTCTGTATGTATCAACTTCTACTCTCCCTACCAAGACTTGTTTTTAAGGAAGAATCAAAAGCTTTCTTACAGAGCTCAAAGGAAGTTTTTTCAAGGATTTTTAGCATCAACAAAAGATACCAGAGCCCAAGGTAAACCGACATAAGACAATTCCCTGATGAATTTAATCACCAGTTGTTGTATTTTATCATCAGCACTGTTTTGCGAGTATACAAAGCTTACCTGCTTAAGTGCAGAGGTGCCGGACCACCAGCACTTACAAAGAAAAACTTTAGGAAGTTAGTGGACAAACTGTACTTGGCAAGCAGCCCTGATGTTGCAAGAGAATCCAAAAGTATTGTAGAAGTTTTCAGGTCTCTAAATTTTGTACTCAAAGGATCAGGTCTGTACAAGTAACTTGAGGACATCTAGGCAAGATTGAGATTATGTTAATAGGGACAACTTTAACTCTTCCTTGGGAGCGTTAGGAAGATATAGTGTTTTAAAAAGGTAGGTAAAGAGAACATCTGTCTGAGACCAGATGTCACCACAGAAACTGCAGCAATAGAGAAGAGGGAAATAATTTTTAAAAATCAGGAAATAGATAGGAAACAGAGTAGATATCTGTAATACACAAGCAAAATTAGCTACAAATGTGTAATGAGGCATAAGCAGGTAGAAGCATTTTTAAGTACTCTGCTTAACAGTGCTTACATCCCTGTTTATTCACATCTCTGAATTGTATGCCTCTGCTCTGATACTGTTCCTACACAAAATCCTCAGAGGAATTTGGTACCAAAAAATAAGTTAATCTTCAAATTAGTCACCCTCAACCGTTTCTATAACTACTCTTCCCAGAAGCTTGACCAAAAAAAAAACTTATGGATTTGAAATGAGGGTATCGGGTGGACACTGTTCAGCTGAGGGGTACACAAGGTCTGGGAAGTGCAGAGGAAAAGCTCATATAGACAGCAGACAGCAAAAAGGCAGGCTGAAGCAATGAGAGGCAATGTGGGCTGGTACCTTACAGAAACCCTGTAGTTTGACAGCCTAGGTTAAACAGACCAATGCCTCCATTTTTCTTAAAGCTAAGAAGCAATCAAGTAGTGCAAACAAAGAAGTTGCTGCAGATGGAAAGTTAAATGAAGGCAGACCAAACCTCCTGGAGAACTGCTACCAGAGCTATAGCCTCAAATCCTCTGCCCTCTAATCTCCCTCAGGCAAAAGAGTGACTTATCACTAATAAAACATGAAAACAACGTTTTAAACACACATACAAGGCAGAAAAAAAAGAAAACAGATCTGTTCTTACGGTAGTCCATCTACTGTAAAAATTAGAACACTATTTGTGAAGTGCAGGAAGTATACACTATACTGAGGATAACCAATAACCATAATAACATGAATAAACAATTTGCCAAAATGCCACCACTATAGAGAAGCTAGGAAAATACAAAAACCCACCACTCAAAAAAAAAAAAAAAAAAAATAAAAAAATCAGCATTACGTTTCTGCTTCTGTAAAGGTTTGGCCAAGTATTTAAATATGAACTTGTTTTAAGTTTATTGAACTCATACACCAGACACCAGGTCCAAAACGGACAAGCTTTCAGTCAAAGAGAGTGACTGCATCAGGAAGTCAGCATTCACCAAAGAATCCATTTCAACATTTTTTATGGTTAGCTGGGAGAGCAGAAATGAAGGCAGTTATCTGAATTGCTTAGAAGGCTCTATTGTTCCCTCTTCCAAAGGATTTTTCCCCAGAACAGAATGGGTGGTGTGTGCAAAGCAAGTAAAAGGTGGGGGAAGGGGAAAAGTCCTGTGGATAAAGAGAGAAACACAAACAGTTTTTAAGCAAAGATATAATTTTTTTAAAGTAACTTCCTACCTCCCACTGCAAGTGAGGCGGGATATTCCTGATCTGAAGCTTCCGACTCCTGTAGATAAATTAAAGAAAATAGCATTTAAAAAAAACAAAACAAAACAAAACAAAAAAACGGAAAGAAAACATCATTGCAAGATAGACTATACATAGCAGTGTCATACATTTAAGCATCTGTCATACTAAGAGGGGCAAAACCAAATACACAACTCAAAAAAACCCAACAGATCGCCGAGGGGGGAATGTCAGGTCAAAACCATTTCAAGTCTAAAGAGCTGTTACAGAAATACTTGTTACACATTTGACAGCTGTTACATTTCATGAAGTCTCCACTTTTCTTGTAGACTATTTCTATTTCTGCTTTAAGGCCTTCAGTATCTAATTCTCTGTTATAAATGGGTGTGATAATCCCATATATTTCTACTGGGTTCTCCCTCACACACTTTAAGAATTTTTTGTTGTTATTTTGTTTTGTGAATCCACCAGGAAAATACTTCAGGATTTTACGTTCCTTCAAGATAGGGAATACAAATTTGAATTAATACATTTGCTTTGATATTAGATTAATGAAAAGTTTAACGATGGACTATTTTCCAACATTGACATGACTAACGTTCTTCCTCCCTGACTGGGAGGAGGGGTAAGAGTCTAGTAAATTCCTTGTATTTTCACCCCAAATTTACATCGGTTTTCATTTATCTAGTAAACAAAACATTCACTTTGAAGTGCTACTGCAAAGCCTGGCAGTGTGCTGGCTGCCTTCACAGCCAAGTCCTTTGTCTCCTCCCTTCCCCCAAAGTGAGAGAACAAATAAATGCCGGAGATGCCACAAACCCCCTGGGATTTACAAGAATGTGTAGAGTAACAGTTTCGGCTGGGCTCAGGTAGAGTGAGCTAGTAGGGTCAGCCTGCCCATCCTGGGAAGCTCTGGGGACAGGAGAGGGGACAACAAAGAGCAGTCTAGTTTAGAAGGTCTCAGTTACGTTTTGGTTCACCAAAGCAGCTAAAATAAGTGTCTTGGGTCCAAACAGTTTTACTTCACATTTTAATTGCTCAATACTGACCTCTCACAGAAAAAAAATGCTTTACACTTTAAGGGCTTTTTTTAACAGTTAAACTTGTACAGGCCAGTGAAGTCTTGCAGCAAAACAAGTTTTAGAGGTGTTCCCGTCTAGCAATAAAATCAAAAGCTTTCCTTTTCCCCTCAAAACCTTTTAAAATACACTCCTTTCCCTAATACCACCACCTACCCAGGCCTGCAGTGAGTGTTTTACGTCTTGAAATGCTCTTCTCAACAGGCTTTGTCCAAGGCACAGCCGGAGGTCATAGCACAAAGCCACCTTGCCCAAACAGCTCCTCATGTGGCAGTGTCAACCCCCAACACTACAGCAACCATGAGATCAAGCGACAAGCATGCTTTTTTGCCAGAAAAGATGAACAGGTCTTGGTTGTGCAGCATTTCTCAGCTGTTTCTACTCTCTCTCGAGCAAGTAGGAGCACATTTCATCATTTGATCATATAAATAGGCAAGGAAGGGAGAACAAGAAAACCAAACCACACACAATCCTATTTAAGGTTTCATTTTCAATAAAGCAAGGGAAGTCAGGAGCTGCTTCACTGAGAGCAGAAAATTCCTTGAAGTCTGCAAAGTTTTCCTTAAACTCAGCTAGCAATAATGCTACAAAACAGTTGCCCTAAAGTAGTGATATACTGCTCTGAAATATCAAAATAATCTCACACAGCAACCTGAAACTTGGAAGTTGGGTCCTAAAGTAGAACATAAAAGGGGATGTTCATTCAATATTAGAAATACCAGGAAATTTTAATACAGCAAAACCCCAAAACCACAAAACTGGTAGCTAATATGCTATTCAATGTGCTTCAAACTGTTGTGCCATTACTCTCTCCCACTTGTAGATTCGAATTGAAATTCCTGAGTTTCACAGCAAGGAGTGCCACTCACAGAAGGATCCAAGCCCAATAGCCCTGCCCACCACGACAGGAACAAGAGGTCTCACCCCAGCTCCACATCAAGTTTGGCCACAAATGCTCACACTGAGCTGTGTATATCCACTGGTGAGAAAGGGAGGGTGGAAAAGTCCTTTCCAGAAGCACTTATGTAGGTTTTCCTTCTGAAATGAAATGTGAGGTGATAGTTGTGTGAAACCTGTGTGTCTTCTCTACTGTCCAACACCTGAAAGGTGGACCAAAAAAGCCATCTCTACTTTTACTCATCTATTGTTGAGGACTAACACAAGGTTTGGAGGTGTTTTTTTTCCTTCCCATGTGACTTCAAGGATCTGAAAAGTTTGATGCAATTTAGAACTTCTGCCAGCCAACATTTGTAGCATAGAAATAACTTGGACATCCTAAAAAGGAGGAGGACTAAGGGAGACGAGCAAGGAAGAAATGCCACCTTAAAATTACCAGTTCCTCTACCACATTCATAAACAGCCAAAGGAAATGGCAAGCCAAGTACAAAACAGGTACAGTCCTGCTGTGGACCTCAATTTATGGCAATAGTGAGACACCTATTGTACAAAACTGAAAGGTCACTTCAAAAATACAAGAATAGCTATACCCACCATTTAGTTTGGAACTGTTTATACCTTCATCAGTTTCTTGGCTGCAAGTAATTTTAACTTGTCACCCAGTGCACAACTTTGAAATCTGGTGTTTACTGATGCATGTAAAAATTTATTCTTTTACATTATTTCTGTATTACAATAGGGAAAAAATATAATTGAATAGAGCTTTGCATGGCCAAGAGAGGAACCACATAGAACCAGTGTTAGATAAAAGATCATATACAGCTTTGAGATTTCCCCGTTTCAGTTACTATTAGCCCCTGTTAAAAAGGCATTGAAATATATCCCTTAAAGTTACCTAGAAATACGCAAAAAGCTTGTAACCCCTTTCCCCCTCTGCCCTTCTCCACACACAGAAAGAATAACTAGAAATGACCAAAGTGGTTTTTTGTTCCCAGGACCAGAACGAGCACTGAACAAGCAGCGAGCAGATGGAGACAGAATCTCCCATGTGCTGCGATAACCTGCAGCTCCTCCTCAGAGATCGCTCCCTCCCGTTCTTTTCCTGCACTTTGGCAGCCCCGTACATCTCCTCGCTGCAAAGCAGCATGAGTGATTTTGCAGGCACTCTCTCTATTGCTTGCATGTGAGCACACAGAAAATCAGCTCTCAACTTCAGGAAAAATCCCAAACCAAACGCGAGTGTATAGCAATGAGTAAGGGACAAAGGCGGGTCCTGACTGAATTTACCAGAGCAGCAACAGTTTCCACGAGGATGGGTTCTGATTTCAGAAAGCACACTTTTGCACAGGGTCAAAACTCCACACAATAGATGGGGAAAGGAAAGAGAAAAGTACGGAAGCATCTTCATGGAAATACGCTCCCATCTCAGGCACTGTCAGCTCTTTTAGGATGCTTTCCATCTTCCTCACGACACGGCTTTCTTTAGCTAAGTATGGTATACACAAAGATCCTACAGCTATCGCAACCCAGGCAGCAGACCCCTACAGAGGGCTTTGTTATGTTCTGTTTTGAAGTAATCTCAAGTTTTGTTACTCTACAACTACTTGCAGTCACACTGAGTGCATAAAACAAGAAAGAGTCCTCTCTCATCCCCTGACAGTATTTTATTACAATAGTTGCATTTAAAACATAGCTCACCCAGTCTTAATAAATCCTTAGTAAAACACTACCAGCATCTCTCAATGTGACTCACATAAGCCTTGTGTATGCAGTTTTTCCAGTTTAAGCAGATTTCTTAGTTCATTTCTCCTATTCTAAATAGGCATTGCAAATAGATGTCAACTGAAAAAAAGCACAAACTATGTTTGTGCTCTGTATCATATGAAGGCTTTTGAAAGCTACCTGTGTTCACAGCATGTGAACAGGTGTTCCCATTCGTTTCTCTTTTTCAAAGAGACCCAAAACACCTTTAATTAGGCAAGAAGAAAACAGACTTCTCTGGTTTCTGTGCAAGGTTAGTCCATAAGCAATTGTTTGGCAATAATTTACTTTTCTTAAGAGGAATTACACACATTCTAATTTGAGAAATTGCACATATCGTAATTCTTCTTTTCAGCTACTATCCAGGTAACAGGATTCAGTTACTTTGAGCCACTGCTGAGGACCATATGCCAACATATTTATTCTGGGGATGTTGAGACATGGAGCCTTGTGTTTGGGGGACATGAATATCTCTACAACAATGAAAACAGGTAAAACAAAAAGCCGTTCTTGTGCCCCTTCGCAAGGAAAGCAGCATATTTGTGCCACGTGTGCACAGAGACAGAAAGAGCAAAGTACCATAAAGATGGATAATTTACTAAAAGCCATCTTAGTGATCTCTGAAGGGGTAATCTCTCTTACGTAAATACAGAGAACAAACATATGCACAGGGACACCCAGTGTTCCCAACCCACAAGAACCCTCCACACACATGAAACAATACTAGACATGTCTTAGGAAAAAGGTGGTGGGAGAAAGGAAAAAGAAAAGCCATAATTTTAGCATTTTCTTTCTTTTATATATACTTGCCTTCTTTCTCTGCCCTTCACTATATGCATCACTTTTTTCCTTCAACATATCAAGTTCCTCTTGAGTTAAAAGGGTCTCGAAATTGTCTATTTTTGCATCCTTGTATTAAATAAAATCTCACTATACACTTTCACTAATAGAATCTCACTGTATGCTTTATATGACATTTAGCAAAGGCAAATCACATCAGATCCACACATGTCCTTAAGGGAAAATAATTTTAAATAACAGAGGATAGACAATTTTAAAGCAAAGAACAACGAAGTATCATGCTTTTGCTCACAGTCCAAAATTTTTTGTATCTCATAGGTGTGTCAAAATTTGACTATTTCAGAGTCAATCATAAACAAGTGACTGCACTTCCACACAGTTGTAACTACACTCATACGAGACCCTTCTCACCATCCTTCCTCCGCCAGAGACCTGCTGCCTCCTGCTCCTCAATTCGCATTTCTCAACAATAACAACACTTAATAGACCCTCACTTCAGCAG